ATTCTGTGAAGCGCTTTGAGATGTCTTGAAGAGGTGATAAGGCACTGTATCAAATACAAGGATTATTATTTTCTGACTCAGTCGTGTCCTGCACTGGCCGGTGAGATTGAACAATCCAGCTGCCCTTGGCAGAGGTTATCACTGCAGGACATGCAGAGAGAAAAATAACAGTGATTATTGTGGAAATGGACCTGAGATTCCAATAGCTTGTGAAACTATCTACAACTTAGTGAAGTATTTACCTAGTAAAATGCAAATGACACTTGCATTTCGAAATGTACCTTCATATCATCAGCATCAGAAGGCTGAATCCTTCCAAACCCGCTGCCATGTTCTGGGCACAGCACAGCTGGTTATATCTGTGTTTATTTGTTTGTTTATTCCAGCCCCCAACTTTGCTGATTTCTGTTGGTGGTATTTTTCCTGTTGATCTCTAAAATGTAGTAAATAATTATTGAAGAAGGTAAAAGCGGCTGACAACTGCTCTCTCCCCCTCCTCATTCTCTACAGCACCAGAGAAGATCATTCACCAAACTTTGGTAATGCTAACCTTCCTCTTACCACCGCTGGGCCTGCGTTAAACTGTGTGTTGACTGGCTGCACATGGTGCAGTGTCAGCGACAGCACATCACATGCTCAGCTTGTAGCCCAATGTTTGGGTCGTTACCCGACATCATGGAAATGTGACAGAGAGTTTATCAGTTTATTACTGATTAATCTCCGATTAATCAGTTACTTCAGACAGTGACAAACCTTGTGTAATATTTAATGTTTAAGCACTCGCCTCACAAGCGAGAGGACTTGAGTTTGATTCCCAGCAGGGTGAAACGTTGGGTAAGTTTGCTTCTCCACACACCTCTGTTACCTAGGAGTAAGCAGAAATCTGGTTGTCAGTTGATTGTTGGATCGCTTTTCAGGGGTAATAATCTCTTTGAAAAATAAAAATAAATGAAAAAAAAATCCTTGCATTTGATACAGAGCCTTTTCAAATCTTCTCGACGTTGCAAAGCGCTTCACAGAATATACTGTAAAGTGAATTGACTGTATATTTTGTGGGTGAAACGCGGCAGCCAATTGCGCACAGCAATGTCCCACAAACAGTCGGGGATTGAGTGACCAAATTATTATTATTTGTTTTTTTCTTGTGGGATTATTATCAGCGTGTGGAGTAAGGAAACTTGCCCAACGTTTTGCCCAACGTTTTGCCCAACGTTTTGCCCTGCTGGATATCGAACCCAGGTCTCTCGTGTGCGAGGGAGTCTCTAATCACTGAGCTACAGGACTCCTGATAATAATAATTTGGTCACTCTAACCACGACTGTTTGTGGGACGCTGCTGTGCACAATTGGCTGCCATGCCCACAAAATATACAGTCAATTCATATTACAGTATATTCTGTGAAGTGCTTTGAGATGTCTTGAAGATGTGAAAAGGCGCTGTATCAAATGCCAGGATTATTATTATTATTATTATTATTATTATTATGTGCTCTTTTGTGGCAGGTAAAATGTTACCGCAGCCCTGGTCACCTGATAGCACAATATCGGAAAATACAAGTCATTCGAGTTGCCTTTTGACAGACAAGGCCTGGAGTTAAACACGCTGAGTGGGTGTGAGCTGATACATACGTGTATTCACAAGTGTACATTGATGTCCATGTGGGAAACCACTTCACATTTCTCATGTGGCTTCAGCGGTGATCTGTACAAGATCAGAGATGTTTATTGCTGGTTTGTCCTTCATGCAAATGATTTTGGCTGTAACCTGCAGCGAGGGCCTCCCGTGTGTGCGCTGACCCCGGCTGCCTTTCCTTTGGTCAGTGAAGTGCCCATCACCTCCTGCTCCTTGTCCAGGACCACAGGACCACAGGAAGGCTTTGACTTTCAGGGTTAACATGACCTGAGCTGAGGCACTGGGCTGTCAGCCGCGCTGCCCTGAGCCTGTGAGGTGGCCGGGCTCAGCCACGCAGCCACCGACACTCCCCGCAGGTTGGCAGCACTCCCCGCAGCCACCGGCACTCCCCACAGCCACCGACACTCCCCGCAGGTTGGCAGCACTCCCCGCAGCCACCGACACTCCCCGCAGCCACCGACACTCCCCGCAGCCACCGACACTCCCCGCAGCCACCGACACTCCCCGCAGGTTGGCGGCACTCCCCGCAGCCACCGGCACTCCCCGCAGCCACCGACACTCCCCGCAGCCACCGACACTCCCCGCAGGTTGGCGGCACTCCCCACAGCCACCGACACTCCCTGCAGGTTGGCGACACTCCCCGCAGGTTGGCGACACTCCCCGCAGGTTGGCGACACTCCCCGCAGGTTGGCGACACTCCGACACTCCGACTGACCAACAGCTCCGGTCCAAATTGGTATCTGTGCAGCCGGTGGCGGAGTCTCTGCACCAGTAATGGTCAGTGTCCTCCCCACACAGGCACTGCGCTTCTCACACACAGTCCCGTAGTAACCACAGTTTGACCCAAATCTGACGTTGTGTGTGTTGAGGTGACTGGGGGTCAGTGCCCCCCCACACCCCCCCCACCCCACTCTCTCACACCCAGCAGCAGGGAAGGGGTTAATACTGTGATGTAAAGGGAGCCCTGGGACCCCCCCCAGACCTGCCCTGTCCTGTCCCCAACACCATCCCTCACAGCCCCCGAACCCACAGGAGCCCAAAGGTGACCGGGAGACGGCTCTGTTATTGGGGACAATGTGATAATTAGTAAGTGTGTGTGTGGGGGGGCTGTGTGGGGGGGGGCTGTGTGGGGGGGGGGGGGCTGTGTGGGGGGGGGCTGTGTGGGGGGGGGCTGTGTGTGGGGGGGGGGCTGTGTGTGGGGGGGGGGCTGTGTGGGGGGGGCTGTGTGTGGGGGGGGGCTGTGGGGGGGGGGGGGGCTGTGTGGGGGGGGGGGCTGTGTGTGGGGGGGGGGCTGTGTGTGGGGGGGGGGCTGTGTGTGGGGGGGGGGCTGTGTGTGGGGGGGGGCTGTGTGTGGGGGGGGCTGTGTGTGGGGGGGGCTGTGTGTGGGGGGGGGGCTGTGTGGGGGGGGGGCTGTGTGGGGGGGGGGCTGTGTGGGGGGGGGCTGTGTGTGGGGGGGGGCTGTGTGTGGGTGGCTGTGTGTGGGGGGGGGCTGTGTGTGTGGGGGCTGTGTGTGGGGGGGGGGCTGTGTGGGGGGGGGCTGTGTGGGGGGGGGCTGTGTGTGGGGGGGGCTGTGTGTGTGGGGGGGGCTGTGTGTGGGGGGGGCTGTGTGTGTGGGGGGGGGCTGTGTGTGGGGGGGCTGTGTGTGGGGGGGGGCTGTGTGTGGGGGGGGCTGTGTGTGTGGGGGGGGGCTGTGTGTGGGGGGGGGGCTGTGGGGGGCTGTGTGGGGGGGGGCTGGGGGGGGGGGGGGGCTGTGGGGGGGGGGGGGGGGGCTGTGGGGGGGGGCTGTGGGGGGGGGGGGGGGGGGGGGCTGTGTGGGGGGGGCTGTGGGGGGTGGGGGCTGTGGGGGGGCTGTGGGGGCTGTGGGGGGGGGCTGTGGGGGGGCTGTGGGGGGGCTGTGGGGGTGTGGGGGGGGCTGTGGGGCTGTGGGGGGGGCTGTGGGGGGGGGCTGTGGGGGGGGGCTGTGGGGGGCTGTGGGGCTGTGGGGGGGGCTGTGGGGGGCTGTGGGGGGCTGTGGGGGCTGGTGGGGGGCTGTGGGGGGGGGCTGTGGGGGGGGGGCTGTGGGGGGGGGGGGCTGTGGGGGGGGGGGGGCTGTGGGGGGGGGCTGTGGGGGGGTCTGTGGGGGCTGTGGGGGGGGGGGGCTGTGTGGTGGGGGGCTGTGGGGGGGCGGGCTGTGCTCCCTGTATCCCGGGCTGTGCTCCCTGTATCCCGGGCTGTGCTCCCTGTATCCCGGGCTGTGCTCCCTGTATCCCGGGCTGTGCTCCTGTATCCCGGGCTGTGCTCCCTGTATCCCGGGCTGTGCTCCCTGTATCCCGGGCTGTGCTCCCTGTATCCCGGGCTGTGCTCCCTGTATCCCGGGCTGTGCTCCCTGTATCCCGGGCTGTGCTCCCTGTATCCCGGGCTGTGCTAGCCTGGCAAGATCTCTGTGCTTTACACATGAAAGTAACAAGGAAAAATAGCCAGTAACCAACGGTTGGATTACAGAATCGGGGAAAACAGGGAATGAATTCTCTGGCTTTGTATTCCTGAAATGCAACTGCTTTGACCCGGTTGTTTCTGCTCATTTGTGATCAGCAGTGAGAAAATGTAAGGTATCTAGGATCCCCTGTGAGGATGATGTGGCTTGTGATAAGGATTATTATTATTGTTATTATTATCTTACTCTCAGAACTGTCTAGATTTGCAAATTATCATCTTATTGTTGTGATCAGCCGGGTTGGTGTCTGACACACGCTGTACTTACGGGTCTTCAAACCAGACTGAGAGTTCCAATATGTACGCCACCCACACTTGTCTGTAATGGACCCCCGCTGACCTAATTCCGGAGGGCCAAGTTCTGGGTACCACAGAGTGTGTGTTGGGGTAACTGCTGGAGTCTAACCAGCTAAACTGTCAGAGCGCCGTCTGGCAAGCTTTCCCGCTGCTTGCCAAGCTGGGACCGTCCTACCTGTTAGGGCTTTGGCTTGCAGGGTTAACAGGAACTGAGTGGGAGAATTCCCTACCCCCAGTGACTGGTTTACCCTTCCAGGTCCTGCTGATGAACCGAGCTTGGTTCATCTCTTCCGTGCTCTCTCTCTCTCTCTCTCGAGATACCAATGTGGCTTTTGTTGACATTTGGAGTATTGAGAGAGGACGTCTGAATGTTATGAGAAGCTCCAACATCTTTATCTGCTAGTCCCTGATTCCATTGGTCGCCAGTTGAAATGCCTCATATCTGTTACTGCATCACATATGTCTGTCTCGTTGTTCACAGTTTGCCCAGTAACTTGTGCTGAGATGCCCTGGGAGGGATGCTGTCTGAGCAGCCGTGTCTCTCGCTCTCTCTCTCTCTGTGACCTTGTTGAGCAGTGAGAAGCCTGTGGTGGCCTCAGGCATGCTGTGCCTGGACTTGCACAGACGGCTGTCGAGGGGGATCTGCCAGAGCTCAGTGACGGCCTGGATCTGCCTTGGCTCGGCTCCTCGGTAAGCAAACCTGAGGGTTCTGCTGAGCTTTGCTCTGAGCTGCAGGCACGGTTTCTCCTCTTGGTTCTTGTGCAGTTTCAGACGGTGTAAGCTCTGAGAGGCTTCTGTGCGATTCTGATGCCCAGTTATGCAGAAGAATGAATGCAGTACAACAGCAACAATTTACAGTTGTATAGCGCCTTTCACGTCGGGAGGATAGGAGTACAACCAGAATATCCCAACCCGCGGAGCCCCTCTCCCTACCACTCCATTACCCCCCACACACACCTTACATACACAACTCTCCCCCCCCACACACACACACCACCCTTTTCCCTCCCCCACACACACCACCCTCTTCCCCCCCCCCCCCCCCCCCCCACACCTCCCCACACACACACACGCACCACCCACCCCTCCACTACCATGGGTGGCAAATTGTGCACTTCGGCTCAGATTCAATCCGGTTCCGTTACCTTGACTTACAAAGCTGTTACACTGGTCTATGTGTTGCTGTGGGGAGAGACTGATAGTGTGGGACAGGGACAGGGTTACACACAGCAAAGTACCTGCCACTTCCACTAACTCAGTGCCTTGTTTGGTTTAATTTGGGATTTGAAATTAGCTCAATTTCAATTTCCTAAAATGTATTGAGATTTTGCTTTGATGAGATAGTGGTGTACATTTTGCCTCTGAACTGTGTGAGGTATTGCACCTGTGTCTCTGTCTCTCATTAAATACATTTGGAAAACATTTTAGGATGGGAATAACCTCTGGATGTGAGTTTAACTCCCAGGAATAATAATAATAATAATCCTTGCATCTGATATAGCACTTTTCACGTCGGGAGGACGTCCCAAAGCGCTTCACAGAACACACTGTAAAGTGAATTGACTGTATATTTGTGGGCGAACGCGGCAGCCAATTGCGCACAGCAATGTCCACAAACAGTCGTAGATTGAAAATGACCAATTTATTATTGTTTTTGGTTTTGGAGGGATTATTATTAGGCTCTGTGTGGAGTAAGGAAACTTGCCCAAGATTTCGCCGTCTGCCTGGGATTGAACTCCGGTCTCTCACTTACAAAGCGAGTGCTCTAACCACTGAGCTACAGGACTCCATGTGTGTGGGAATGTGTGCTCTGTGTGTGTGGGTGTGTGTGCTCTGTGTATGTTTGTGTGTGTGGGTGTGCTCTGTGTGTGGGGGTGTGTGGTTGTGCTCTGTGTGTGTGTGTGCTCTGTGTGTGTCTCTGAGCTCGCTGCATAAGTTGCCTCGGAACAGGTCCACATCACAAATCTTCTCAACCTATCTATCTATCTATCTATCTATCTATCTATCTATCTATCTATCTATCTATCTATCTATCTATCTCTCTCTCTTCTTCTCTCTCTCTCTCTCTCTCTCTCTCTCTCTCTCTCTTCTCTCTCTCTCTCTCTCTCTCTATCTATCTATCTATCTATCTATCTTAATAAAGACAAAATGTCTGTGTGTGGGCGTGTCTGTTTGCCAATAACCCATTGACATAGAGACATGAGTTATAACCCCATCGGAAAGGTCTTGTATTTGGGAGTGTCATAGGCATATTTTGTTTCTGGGATCAATCATTGATGAGTTGTATTAAAAAATGCTTTAATTGAGCCCCAAAATATGAGGTACTAGCTGTACCTGTTGCAGCTATGTTTGCAACCAGTTTCATTTAATCGACCTTCTCTCTTTCATCTGGCATTTTTATTTGTCCTTGAAAGGCTTAATCTTCGCTTCTTAAGCATCTTTATCCCTTATGGGTTGTTGAATTCGTTAGCACGTCTTGTTCACATATTTGGAAGGACTCCTGGTTGGAAGGACTCCTGGTTGGAAGGACTCCTGGTTGGAAGGACTCCTGGTTGGAAGGACTCCTGGTTGGGAGGACTCCTGGTTGGGAGGACTCCTGGTTGGGAGGACTGATGCGCACAAACAAACATTTTGTCTTTATTAGTATAGATGCATCTCTCCAGAAGGGTGTGTGACCTCTGTCGCTACTTTGCTGCAGAAATCCATGCATCTTTTTGGAGGCTTAATTAAAGCATTTTTTAATATAGCTCATCAACGATAGGAGATTCCTGGGAAAAATATGCCCATTGCACTCCCCCATGCAATACCTTTCTGATGAGGTATAAATCATGTCTCTACGTCAATTGGTTATTGCGTTCTTGGTGGACAGATAGACATGTTGTCTTTACTAGTATAGACTAGCTGTACCCATTGTAGCTATGTTTGCAACCAGTTTCATTTAATTGGCCTCTCTTTCGTCTGCCATTTTTACTTGTCCTTGAAAGGCTTGATCTTAGCTTCTTAGGCATCTTTATCCCTTAAGATTAAAAAAAATGTGCTGTTGAACTCGTTAGCATCCCTTGTTCACATATTTGCTCACATATTCTTTTGGGAGGACTCCTATTGGGAGGACTCAGTGGAAGACTTAATTCTTTTCTAGTATAAAGTATAATAATCATTACTAATAAAGACAAAATGTTTGTCTGTGTATCCGCCAAGAACACAATAACCGCTTGACGTAGAGACATGATTTATGTCATCGGAAACATCTTACATGGGGGAGCGTCATGGACATGTTTTCATGGTTCACCCATCGTCGATGAGTGATATTAAAAAAAATTTTTTTTAGAAGTCTACTTTCTCATCTAGATATCATCTCATGTAAGTGTCTCATTTTTTCCATCCTGTGCACTGGATTCATGTCCTCATCAGAAAGATCTTGCAGGGTGGCTTGTCATGGGCATATTTTTTTTCCAGTTATCTCCTATTGTTGATGAGCTATGACTCAAACAAGCTTATCACATATGTAGAGTAGTTTTGCTTAAGGTGTACACGCAGTGATTATGGCATGTTAAATGGTTTGTGAGTGCTATCACTGAAATCTACATTCTATATTGGATCCTTTGGTTGCATGCGTAGCTGCAACTGGTACAGCAAGTTGACTTATAATTGGTACTTCACTCCATCAGCAGTGTGAGGGCAGCCTTGTTGCGTGCTCCCTTGTTGTGGCTAGCCTGCCAGCCTTCACTCCCATTACCCTGAGCGAGAACCCACACTGCTTTCTCAGTGTAGCTCAAACCTGTGATTTTTTTTCAACCATAGGAAACAGGGAGGCGTGGGGTGAAGGGAGTTGATTTCATTAGTGTGTGGAAGGAAGCAGCAAACCAATTCGTAACTAGTGACGTCTCACGATAAAGAGAGAGGTCTGAAGGCCACGTACTGAGGCCCATGCAGAGTTGTTAATGGCAGGAGACACAGGCTCCAGGCATGGCACATACATATTTGTTCAGCATTATCCTTCACAGGATCAGCTGTTTGCTGTCATCTCCCATCTCGTCACATTCAGGCCCGATGTCTCCTCCTCAGCTCCCAGCTGCTGCTCCCTGCACGGGCAGATGGCAGAAGCCCTTTACCTTCATTACAGTTTCTGCTTGTGTGAGTTTCTTAGCGTTCAGTAACTCCTTCAGTGCTGTTGCGTGTGTGCGCAGGTGTGTGGGGCCCACTTGTGAGGAGGGGTGGGGAGGGAGAAAAAAAAATTGGTCCCTCAATCCACGATCGTTTGTGGGACACTGCTGTGCGCATTTGGCTGCCGATTTCACCCATAAAATAATAATAATAATAATCCTTGCATTGATATCACGCCTTATCACGTCTTCGAGATGTCTCAAAGTGCTTCACAGAATATACTGTGAAGTGAATTGACTGTATATTTTGTGGGCGAAATGCAGCCGCCAATTGCGCACAGCAGCGTCCCACAAACAGTCATGGATTAAGCGAACAATTTATTTTTTTGCAGGGTTTATTACCCTGGAAAAGCGATCCACCAATCGACTAACAAGCGGGTTCTTACTTAAAATAATCCCTCCAAAAAAAACAATAATAAATTGGTCATTTTCAATCCATGACTGTTTGTGGGACATTGCTGTGCGCAATTGGCTGCAGTGTTTCGCCCACAAATATACGGTCAATTCACTTTACAGTCTATTCTGTGAAGCACTTTGAGACGTCGAGAAGACGTGAAAAGCACTATATCAAATGCAAGGATTATTATTACTGCAAAGGCGTGCGGACTAAGTAGACTTGCCCAATCCTTCGGTCTTCCGGGAATACACAGTCACTACACCTTACAATATATTCTGTGAAGCGTTTTGATGGGGATGGAGGCCGAGGAGTGGGAGGGATTCCGGTGTGGGTGGGGGAAGGATGCGGGTGGCCTTACTGCTGATGACAGCTACTTGTGAGGTGATGTGTGAAGTGAGCTGGCCTGCTTCCCGAGGCTGAGCTCTGGCAGTGAGGACTGAGGAAGGCGGCAGCTGCTGGAGATTTGGGGAAAGGTCAATGTAGTCACTTTGGCTGATGAGAGAATGAAGGAATCTGTCATCGTAGCAGCTGCTTATTGGCTGGATTGGCAGCCGGTGCCAGTGACAGCGCCTGTCACATCTCTCTGGGTGCCAAGGGGAGCTTTAAAGCTGTGCTGTCAGACAGACACACAGACGATTGTTCGGTGGCTAAACAGTGCTGGACGATCAGGGTTAGACTTTACAATGGGGACGAGCCAAGTTCTGTAAATATTTCACTGTGCTCTTGTCCATGTCCAGAAAGCTTCTCCTCATAGCTTTGTCAGAAAAGAGCCCGAGGCTAAAGACTTGAACAACGTTGTCATGTGGAAGTTCCTGGGGCTGAATTCTATTTAGTAATGTTAGAGCCATGGCCTTTGGTTAAATTGTACTCCTGTCCCCAGTGACCCTGAAAGGCCCATTTACATTCATTTCTCAGTCCTTACCATTGGCCACATTAGCATTTTGATGCTATTTATCTTTTTTTCACATGTAGGTGTGCCAACAGAGCAGGTTCCTTATGAGCTTGAATGATGCCTACTCTGGCGTGATGTGTGGCTTGTAAAGGACCTGGCGACACAATGCTTGTGCATTAACGTGATGGATAGTGCTGAGCTGAGGAAGTCTGTGTTGGATCCTCGCTGCCAAAACCCT